GAGTAGCGCGGACGGGAACAAGGAATTCTACCGGCAGCTGCAGCAGCAGAGTGAGGCCCAGCCCGGCCCAGGCGACCCCGACCCCTTCACCTACGTGGACCCGGCTGACGGAGCCGCCTACGAGTGGGACTGGGAGAAGAAGGCCTGGTTCCCCAAGATAACAGAGGATTTCCTGGCAACATATCATGCCAGCTACGGCTTCCACACAGATGATGCAGACAGTTCCTCTGCTGCAGGCACAGCAACTGAAATTAAGCAGCCTGTAAGTTCCAATGCAGCAGGAGCACACCCAGCAGCAGATGAGAAAGGACCACAAAAACCAGATCCCAAACAAAAAGCAGAAAAACAGAAGATTGAGCCAGGTTGGTTTCATGTTGAAGACGACAGAAACACAAATGTTTATGTGACTGGTTTGCCTCCAGACATTACGAAAGATGAATTTGTCCAAGTTATGTCAAAGTGTGGTATCATTATGCAAGATCCACAGACAGAAGAACACAAAATCAAACTGTACAAAGATAAGGAAGGAAATCTGAAAGGAGATGGGCTCTGTTGCTATCTAAAGAGAGAATCGGTTCAACTTGCTTTGAGCCTTCTGGATGAGGCAGAAATTCGAGGCTATAAACTGCATGTTGAAGTTGCAAAGTTTCAACTGAAGGGGGAGTATGATGCCAGCAAGAAGAAGAAGAAATGTAAAGACTACAAGAAGAAATTTTCTGAGCAGCAGAAACAGCTGGATTGGAGGCCTGAGAAGAAAGATGGGAAACTCGAATGCGACACGAACGCATTATTATTATCAGGAATATGTTTCACCCAAAGCAAAGGACTTTGAGGAGGATCCCTTGGTGCTCAATGAGATCAGAGAAGATCTGCAGACAGAGTGTGAGAAGTTTGGTCAAGTAAAGAAGGTTCTTATATTTGATCGACACCCTGATGGCATGGCTTCGGTGTCATTTAAAGAAGCAACAGAGGCTGATGTCTGCAAGCTGACTCTGAATGTAAGGTGGTTTGGTGGACGTCAGCTCAGTGCTGAAACCTGGGATGGTGTAACGGATTATCAGGTGGGGGAGACTGCAAGAGAAAGGGAAGAAAGGCTGAAGGTGTGGGGATCGTTTCTAGAGGATCCTGATGGAAAGGAGCAGCAACCTGCATCTGATTCAGATTCAGCAGCAAGCAGTGTCAAACTGCCTGAAAGCAGGAAACCCTCACAGGTTAATGACACATCTAAGGAGGATGGAAATGAGGCCAATGAGAGGGAGAATAATGGTGAGGGCATTAATGAAGATGGTGCTCCATCCACAGACAGCAGCCTTGCAGGCAGTGATGGTGAAGCTGACACATAACATCATTCATGCTGTAGGAAAGCATGGAGTTTAGGGTGATGTTTGAGTTGATCCCTTCTTTTTGGATGACTGCAAACTGTTCATAGGAATATATGCATATTAGAATGTCATCAACTGTGTGCTTTGAAGTTTTCATTAAAAGCAGTACTTAATGATGTTCTAAAAGTTTGTATTAATTGGCTGTTCAGGTAAAGTTACTCAATTTGCCAAGAATGCAGTAAAACTCATCAGGCTTCTTTTGTTCTAACTATGCTTGTCAGTGTTTCATTATGTAAGTGTGAAGTATGTTCCAACCTGTAAGTTTATGTAACTATATGTAACTTTGCAATGAATTGGCCACTCTAAAATCTAATAATTCGGCCGAATCTGATGATTCTGAAGACTCGGACTCTAGTGAGTCTGACTTTGAAGGCTGGTGTACAACGGAGGAGGAAGAACTGGTATTTTGCTCAAAAAAGCCTGCAATGCCACCACAAAGGGCAAATTTAAAAAACAGAAACAGATCTCCTGCCCTCAGGCTAGCAACTCCTCCCACTAATCCTCCTTTAACACCAACTGCTCCACCGGAGGAAGTGCCCTCCAGCTATCAGGTTACACCCACTACACAAAAAGGGCCAGCAGCAGCCAGCATACCAAAACACACAACACCACACCCCTCTGCTCCTATGCATGGTGAGGAAGAGGGAGGGTTGGAGTCACTCACATGTGAGATGACAAAACTGATCAATAAAAGAATGGATAAATTAGAAAATAAATTTCAGTATCTGGCTACCAAATTAGAATTTGAAAAAAGTACACATGCTTGTGGCACAAACCAGTCTCGGAAAGGGGTAAAGAATAACTACAAGTACATTAAAAATAATTCCCTTTTCCACTCTCGCCATTTGGCATTCTTTTGAAACATACGTAGTGGCCTCTCTTAGAGTAAAATTTGGACTTGGTGAATCACTGATGAGGTAACTGTTAAGTCCTGTTTCTGCTTCCCTTTGGTGATAATTCTTGCAGCTTGTGTTTTGCTGTCACTCAGTGGAGGAGGGGCCATAGTCCTGTACAGCAGTTAGGGAATACCAGCGGCAGTTATGTACATGCTAGTGAAGTCACACCATCTACAGGTGTTTAAAACTTACCATAGATGGAACCATTAACTTCTGTTATGGCTTAAAAAAAGGGAACTAGGGCCAGTAGGTAAAAGTAGACTGAAAGGCAACAGCTATCTGCCTGTCCTATAAGCAGAAGAGTATCTCAGACTGAGGAAGTGAGACTAACAAACGTTGTGGAAGATAAAGACAATAGAGAACCAAACCTCTTAAAAAAAAAAAAAAAAAAAAAAAAGATACTTCTGAAACGTAATGTGGACTTGCAGAGCCAAACAGATAACTAAGTGTCTAGTCCTCAATTCTCTTACATGTCTTAGGAAATGGTCCTCTCTGACAAAGCTTTTGTAGTGAAAAAAAACCTACAAATTCTATCAAAGTTCTCAAGATGCATGTTTTTAGAAGCTACTTTAAAAGAAAAATTCCTGTTGGGTTTAATTTCTCAGTGGGTGATGTTTTGGCCTGCAGAAACAAAGAAGTGGGCAACTCTCCAGAACAGAAGGTGCATTTTAATGACCAAAAAGTTGAGGCTGCTCTTCGGTGCTTGTCCCAGAGCCCTCTGAGGAGGGGCAGCTCTTGCTGGGTTGTAGAAAAATATTTAATATTCCAAGAGCTTTTATCCTGCTGTTATTTAGTGCCTTGAGAATATTATTATACTTCCACATGTTCTTAATCCCTGTATCTTCTCTGATTTGGATTTACAAGGTTGAAATGGAAAGCATTTACAACTTGGTCTCATGTCAGCTGAAAAGTCTGAAGAGAAGATTTGATCATATCACATGAAGATAGTCTAACAAATAAGGAGAATGACAAAAAGTATTTTCTGTTGTCAATCACTCTTTTATTATTATTATTAACATAATTAACTAGGTGAAAGGCAAAATTTCAAATGCCACTTCATACCTAAGAAATCAGATTTTAATTGAAAAGATAGAAAATAGGTTTATCTAATTCCTGTTTTTTAGTTTTGGTTGGTTGTTGTTGTTGGTTGTTTTTTTTTAAAAAATCAGAGCCAAAGTCAAGACTGCAAATAATCTTGATTTATTTTCATTGAAGGACTACAGTAATAATAATACAAATGGATAGTTACATTTCTATATGTATTTGTTAATTTGTGTCTTTCAGTAAGTATTTGTATGCAGAAGACACTAACAGAAGTAGGCAGACACCCAGGACCATGCCTATGGGCTTTGTCTTCCAACATCTTGCAAATGGAGAAGCGTTAAAACTTCAAAATAGTCTTTCCTAACTTGGAGTCTGAGTATGTTTATTCAGTATCTTACCCAGGGCTTCCTAGTTCATAATCGTTTGGGAATGGTGCTCTTGCCTCTGTAAAGGTTTTCATTTAGAGATTGCTAACAATCTTTCAGTCTCTGTAACTATCAAGATGGTCAGTGGAGTTTGCAAAGGAACTTTTCTTGTGCATCTTAAGAAGAGTTTCTTACAAGCTCCTTCTCAGTAACTTCTCACAGTCTTCCAAACACTTGATGGATTTTTAGTTGAGCTACCTGATTGAACAATATTGTTTAATCTCACGTGTGTTGACCTCTAGCCAAACCCCAAACAGTAGTTCAAATGGTACAACAGATATTTGCAGAATTAAATATATGTCCTTTCTGGTGGTCTATGGGAGCATATGACTGGAGAGCATCACACATCGAAGTGCAATAATTCCGAAGTCATCTCTTTTGTGTGCCATCAAAAATCACAGGCTTTCATGCACTTCAAAACACCCCACAAAGACTTCAGAGCAGCTAAATATGAAACTAGAACTACTGTGTGCAATAGCACAACATGAGAGTTTAAAAGTATAGTTTTAAGCGTTCAGAAAGGTGATTATCCCCATTTGTACACCATTCCTCAATCAACCTCATATTGCAGTTCTAGCTACCAGATCCCCTGAGAAGTAATATAACTTTCTCAAGTTGTATTTTATTATTGTGATTAAAACTTGCATAGAAATTACATGTCACCTCACTTTTTATGGAAACAGTAAGTTTTTTAATGCATAGGCCTTCTGCCTAGAAGTTAGTCAGGGAGACGGGAAGGTGTCATATTTCTGGGTGTCAGAAGCAGCTAAAAAAATGCACTTAGTTTCTACTTACCTCAGCCTATTGCACCTACCCACTGACCTCCAAACTAGTTTACATCTTCTGAGCAAGTTCCACTTAGATTAAGTACTTCATTGTTATTAATTTTACTATTCTACTTATTTACTTCTCCCTACTGACTTTAAATACATAATTCATAGCCAGATCAAGCTCTAATAAGTATGACTTCCCTCAGCCATCTGGCCACAGTCAGGCCAATACTTAAAGTCAAATCTGAATTTTAACTTCTTGAAGAAATAATTAAATCAGTGTTAGCAGCAGCCCATGTGGAAAGTGTCTGCATAGTAATTAATTACCAGCAGCCTGTCTTTAATTTGCTTGTGTGCATAGTACCCCTACAATAGCGTGAGAGAAGCAGCAGAACATTTATATAAATTAAAATCAATAGCAGGCTGAATACTGAGCCCTGTGGAATTTCTTCTCAGCAAATAGAAATTTTAGAGACTAAGGGCTTAAACTTAGCTGCTTGACTTTTTTCATCAAGGTAAAATTCAAAACAATTAGTTATTATTTATGATGCAGTAATACCTGGAAATCTTTTTAGTGATGATATTATATTTCTGTAGAGTAAAAATGAAGGCTTCTTCAAGTTTCAAAATACTTTATTGACATGCCAAACTTCTTTGTCTTTAAAAGACTTTTTGTTTTTAATTTCACTGAAGGAGAATTTTTTTTTTCTTTTTCCCTATGCAACATTTTAAAAAATAATTTATTTATTAATAAGAAGTATAATTTTTTATATCTTTGAAATTACTTCTTGGCACAAAACCAGAAGGGAAAAAGTTTTTCATTCTGTACTTCTGTTACAATGTAACTGTCAGTTCTTTATGTGTGAAGTTTGGTAAATTCATTTTATCTTTCACTTTAGTAGGAGTGCTGGCTCTCAGAGCTATAACTTACAGTAGGTGAGAATCTGACTCAAAGCCATCATGAATGTATTTATACAGAGAAAATATTTATATATATATAAGTACATATCTAGATACAGATATTTCTGATATTCAGAACTTCCACCCATTTGAAGGACTAAAAAATCCCTCTTACTGTAATGGCTACAGTACTGCATTTCACAGAGCAGTTAATGAGATCTGGATGCACTGAGTGATTTATTTAAAGTAATTCAGCAAGGAAACGTTGGAGTTCCAAAGGTCCTTGCTGTCACCATAAGACTGCACAAAAACACTGCTTCTCTCAATGGGTTAAAATTGACAGGCAATAAAAAACCCTCTTTTCTTAAACAGTGAACAGTTAATAATTCATGCTAAAATCTACATTCATTAGTTTCAAGATATATACATTAGCCTACCACAGAATTATATTATCATTTAATTAGTTCTTTTCTGCCCTGACATCTTGTACTTTAGTGCAATTTACAATTCTGCTTATTCTCATTTAACTTAGTAAACATTTTGGCAGAAGGAATGTACCTTTACTGATATTGTGTAGTGCACTGCTTATCTATTATATGGTATGGGTAATACATAATGAGATAATCTGAGTCTTGTAAACCTAAATTGAATGTACTTCTGGGAATCTTGCTATTATATACTGAATGTTTTCCATGTCTTGCTTTTGTAAAACAGCATTTATTTGGAAAATAATTATATGCATATGACCAATAGGCAATTGCTAACAGATACTGCCATCTCATATAGAGTGTTTTGTTTTGAATCAAGCACAACTTTTACTTTTTGCATTTTGTTTCTAAGGATACGGTCATGAGCGGGGAACATTTTCCTCAGGAGCTCATCTGTTCCTGCTGCTTGTCCCTCACCTAAAGTCATAAGCCTTTGTT